ACCAACAAATTACAGTGTTTACACCCAGAAATGCTGCTATGCAGCCGATTATCACATGGGTACCGAAAGCTTCTGTGGCTTGATAAAATGGACATAGACTGAGTATCCAGCTAGACCACGTTAATGACCTAGATAGAGATTGATCCAGGTTGTGCTGGATTGACAAGGAGGTTGCTTCCCAGTGGGATTTGCTTTGTCTATGATTTTTTCCCCTAAGTTATATTGTAACGAAGGCAAGTGGGACTGTAGCTTTGGCAAGAATGCACGTATTTTCTCGAATCAAACGTGCCCTTATCATATGATGCAGAGGGTCTTTCCAGAGGGTAGTGTAGGATTTCACATGGATGAGTCAGCCTTCTGTATCCCAGTGCCTTATTCAACTTCTGGATCATCTGCTATGCTGCAACATTTCAGCTGTTCATTGAGTTTCATAACATTCCACAACCTCAGTGGAGTGAGCAAAGGCTTTTATTTCATTGCTGTTTCCCCCCCAGTATCCTGCCAATGAATGACTGCACTCATATTCCCATGGAGAATGAGATGTATTGTATACTATGGACATCCTGCCAGTTAGTGAACTGATGCAGGAAATATTGTCAATCAAGTGTTAGTGATGTATCCCAGCTCTTCTCAAGACTCATATCTGTAAGGTTTCTAATTCAGGCATTTGGTGACCATGTGATTAACAAGTAAATCAATATATTTTTTAATGTCTCTAACTAAAGTTTTTGTATTTACTTTTAGGGTAAGGCACAGATAAGCCATTTATTGACTCTTACATGATGCTTACGCTGAATACCAAAGCTATACCCAGTTGGTGACTCTCCTCCCCCTGCCATGTGATGGCGGGGAAAAACTGCAGGGAGGAGTCAGCCAGAGACTCCAGCTGTTAGGAGCAGAAGCACAAAAGTAGGAACCTGGACATTCAGAGAACTTCCTACAGTTTGATGGGACTGTCTCTATCCTGTGCTGATTGGCTGTTTGCTCTACCCACCCTCCCGCCCCCTCACAGTCTCTTCACCTCAGCTTCACACCTTACCCTCTTCTCCCCTGCCCTGTCCCCCTCAGCCTCCTCCCTTTCCCTTTTCTTTCTATTTAGCTGATCTCCTCCTAACCAAACCCATCGAATAAATAAATAAAAGTACAGCACTCGCATGACGTTCGCTGCCCTCACATTCTTCACTCTGCTTGTGTATTCTATCCCTTCCCCACCCTGTGTCTGTCTTGTCTATTTAGATGGTAAGCTCTTCAGGGCAGGCACTGGCTGCTACTCTCTGTTTGTACAGCGCCTGGAACAATGGGGCTCCACTCTTGGCTGGTCCTTACTAGTGTAAAAAACATGATTAATATTAGTAAGTTACAGGAGTTTTAATCATTGAATGTCTTTGGGAAAACAACTTTTTAGAAACACACTGCACAGTAATACATGAATCAGAAGGATCAATGGAAGGATCAAAAGAGAAAGCAAATACTAACAATGTTTCTGGAACATGGTTATAGTGAACTACAATATGCCAGCCAGAGATCACCAGATCAGAGCTCAACAGCGCTCTGGCCATGACTCCTCCCTAGCCATCACAGTATATGTGCATGGGTGTATTTGTGTATTGTTGTTTTTGTATTATTCTAGTGCCTAGGCATCTCAGTGATAGACCTGGACCCTATTGTTCTAGATGCTGTACAAAGAGAACAAAAAGACAGTCCCTGCATAGGTACACTATTTTTATATACATTCACACATATACCAATATTAAAATCATACACTTTATAATTATCTTTGAAGTCTGTCATTTTAAAAAAGTGATTTGATTAAGTTTGGTAATCTTATAATTGTGGAGAGGGTTTAATAGAAATAAAATACTCTGTTTATCCTTCAGAGAATGAAGTCAGTCTATGAATACAACACACACTTCACCCATTCTGGCATAAACAGAAACCACTTCAGGGTGCCTGGAGAGATCTTTCTTGCCTATTCGTGGTAAAGACAACCTAAAACCTGTTTCTATGGCTTCCTTTCTTGTGAGTTATCAGAACTTTTTTCATCACCAGTAAGAGAAAACAAATGATCAAGAGATTCCTCTGCATATTGTCTTTTTGGTATGGCAAGAGACTGCAGCAAGGCAAAGTAAGCTAATTATTTTTGTCTACTCAATCAACCGTTGTTAATGAAGTGTGACAAGCTTTATCTATCACTGCTGTTAAGATAAGGCCTGGGTTGTTTAACTGCAGCTGGTTTTACTGCCAGTTTACTAGCCACAGTCACCCCCCCCCCCCCCCCCCAGAAATGCAACTGTTGACTGGCTGGGCATCATTAAGACACTAGAAAGAGAAGCAGGAACACTCTTCATGATAATCTTACTGTTTAGGAAAGCAGGACTGCATGTTCTGTGTGGCCAAAAGAACCAGCTGGAGAAAAACATGAGCATATTTTTCTCCATTTCACAAACAGAATAAATAAAAGGAAATAATAAGCATTCATAAAAGATCTTAGCATTTCTTGCAAGCCAGTTTTGACCCCTTTGATCAGCACATAACATCATAAACTCTTATATACTGGATTGCTTATTGGGCCATTTAGTCTAGTATCCTGTCTTCAGCGGTGACCAGTGTCCTATACTTCTGAAGAAAGTTTAGTCCCTTCTTAATGTATGTAATTTTCTGACCCCAACTGATGTCCTGAAGTATGAAACTGACAATCATTGAAAGCCAAATCCTTGAAAGCCATCTCTAAATTGGCAGCCGCAATCTTGCATGCCCTAAACCTTGCATTTTCATAAGCAAAAGGTATTTGCATGTACATACCAAGAGCCTGAGTCATCACTGTGTTACTCCAATTTTACACCTGTGTAACCCCATCTATTTTAGAAGAGTTACAGATTAAAACTGGAGTAATGTATTGATGCATCAAGCCCTGTTCGGATGTCAAACTACCAATTTGTACATGCAAATACTGTACACAGAAATACAAATTTTTAATCTGCAAAATAAAAGCATGGGTGCAAATTTAAGGGATGAGTTGAGACTATTGAAAATTTGGCCCAAACATTTTATCCTAGCTAATGTAGCTGCGCTGGCTCTTGTTCACTTAAAAGTAGGGGAAGACCGACCTGGATAGAGTAGGGATTGGTAATGGATAAAATATCAAGACACAAATGTTAGGCTTGTGATCAAGGTACTGGACTGGAACTCAGTCAGTCTGGGTTCAGTTCCTAGCTTTGCCACAGACTTCCTGTGTGACTTTTGGGAAGTTACTTTATATCTCAGTCATTCTGATCCCCATATGTAAAATGGGGTTACGTAATAGATCCATTCTTCCACGCTTTGTCTGTCTTGTCTATGTAGATTGTAAACTCTTTGGACAGAGAGTATTCTACTGTGTGTAAAATGCCTAGGACAGCAGGGCACCGATCTCGGTTAGGGATTCTAGGTATCTACTCCCATAATAGAAATAAATAAGAATGGCTAAGCCACTGGTTTAAATCCAGGCAAGCAGTGACTGACAGTTACTAAAAAATCTAATGGCTCTTTGGTTGTTTAAGTCCAGTTTCTAGTGAGCTGGTGTCCACATCTCTCTCATTCATCTCTTTCCACATTTTTATGGCTGACTTAGAACAACGCTTCTGCAGCTCTTGTCCCCTTACACCCCTACTCTACTTGTGCTACATTGATGACATCTTCATCATCTGGACCTATGGGAAGGAGACCCTTGAGGAATTCCACCAAGATTTCAATGATTTCCACCCCACCATCAACCTCAGCCTGGACCAGTCCACACAAGAGGTCCACTTCCTAGACACTACAGTGCTAATAAGTGATGGTCACATAACCACCACCCTATACCAGAAACCTACTGACCACTGTACTTACCTCCATGCCTCCAGCTTTCATCCAGACCACATCACATGATCCAGCCAAGCTCTAAGATACAACTGCATTTGCTCCGATCCCTCAGACACAGACAAACACGTACAAAATCTCTATCAAGCATTCTTAAAACTACAATACCCACGTGGCGAAGTGAAGAAATATTGACAGAGCCAGAAGGGTAACGAGAAGTCACCTACTACAAGACAGGCTCAACAAAGAAAGCAACAGAACGCCACTAGCCGTCACCTACAGCCCCCAGCTAAAACCTCTCCAGTGTATCATGAAGGATCTACAACCTATCTTGAAGGACGATCCTTCACACTCACAGACCTTGGGAGACAGGCCAGTCCTTGCTTACAGACAGCCCCCCAGCCTGAAGCAAATACTCACCAGCAACTACACACCACACAACAAAAACACCAACCCAGGAACCTGCTACAAACCCCGGTGCCAACTCTGTCCACATACCTATTCAAGGGACACCATCATAGGACCTAACCACATCAGCCACACCATCAAGGGCTCGTTCACCTGCACATCTACCAATGTGATATATACCATCATGTGCCAGCAATGCCCCTCTGACATGTACTTTGGCCAAACCGGACAGTTTCTATGCAAAAGAATAAATGGACACAAATCTGACATCAGGAATCATAACATTCAAAAACCAGTCGGAGAACATTTCAATCTCTCTGGTCACTCAATAACAGACCTAAAAGTGGCAATTCTTCAACAAAAAAACTTCAAAAACAGACTCCAATGTGAAGCTGCACAACTGGAATTAATTTGCAAACTGGATACCATCAAATTAGGCCTAAATAGAGACTGGGAGTGGATGTGTCATTACACAAAGTAAAACTATTTCCACATGCTAATTTTTTTCCCTACTGTTACTCACCCTGTCTTGTCAACCATTTGAAACAGGCCATCCTGATTATCACTACAAAAGTTTTTTTCCTTCTGTTGATAATAGCCCACCTTAATTAATTAGTCTCGTTAGAGTTGGTATGGCAACACCCAGTTTTTCATGTTCTCTGTGTGTCCACCTCCTGTATTTTCCACTGCACGCATCCGATGAAGTGGGTTTTAGCCCACGAAAGCTTATGCCCAAATAAATAAATAGTCTCTAAGCCCTGGTCTACACTAGGACTTTAGGTCGAATTTAGCAGCGTTAAATCGATGTAAACCTGCACCCGTCCACACAATGAAGCCCTTTATTTCGACTTAAAGGGCTCTTAAAATCGATTTCCTTACTCCACCCCTGACAAGTGGATTAGCGTTTAAATCGACGTTGCCGGCTCGAATTTGGGGTACTGTGGACACAATTCGATGGTATTGGCCTCCGGGAGCTATCCCAGAGTGCTCCATTGTGACTGCTCTGGACAGCACTCTCAACTCAGATGCACTGGCCAGGTAGACAGGAAAAGAACCGGAAACTTTTGAATCTCATTTCCTGTTTGGCCAGCGTGGCAAGCTGCAGGTGACCATGCAGAGCTCATCAGCAGAGGTGACCATGATGGAGTCCCAGAATCGCAAAAGAGCTCCAGCATGGACCGAACGGGAGGTACGGGATCTGATCGCTGTTTGGGGAGAGGAATCCATGCTATCAGAACTCCGTTCCAGTTTTCGAAATGCCAAAACCTTTGTCAAAATCTCCCAGGGCATGAAGGACAGAGGCCATAACAGGGACCCGAAGCAGTGCCGCATGAAACTGAAGGAGCTGAGGCAAGCCTACCAGAAAACCAGAGAGGCGAACAGCCGCTCTGGGTCAGAGCCCCAAACATGCCGCTTCTATGATGAGCTGCATGCCATTTTAGGGGGTTCAGCCACCACTACCCCAGTCGTGTTGTTTGACTCCTTCAATGGAGATGGAGGCAATACGGAAGCAGGTTTTGGGGACGAAGAAGATGATGATGAGGAGGAGGTTGTAGATAGCTCACAGCAAGCAAGCGGAGAAACCGGTTTTCCCGACAGCCAGGAACTGTTTCTCACCCTGGACCTGGAGCCAGTAACCCCCGAACCCACCCAAGGCTGCTTCCTGGACCCGGCAGGCGGAGAAGGGACCTCCGGTGAGTGTACCTTTTAAAATACTATACATGGTTTAAAAGCAAGCATGTGAAAGGATTACTTTGCCCTGGCATTCGCAGCTCTCCTGAATGTACTCCCAAAGCCTTTGCAAAAGGTTTCTGGGGAGGGCAGCCTTATTGCGTCCTCCATGGTAGGACACTTTATCACTCCAGGCCAGTAACACATACTCGGGAATCATTGTGCAACAAAGCATTGCAGTGTATGTTCGTTGACGTTCAAACAACATCCGTTCTTTATCTCTCTGTGGTATCCTCAGGAGAGTGAGATATCATTCATGGTCACCTGGTTGAAATAGGGTGCTTTTCTTCAGGGGACACTCAGAGGAGCCCATTCCTGCTGGGCTGTTTGCCTGTAGCTAAACAGAAATGTTCCCCGCTGTTAGCCACAGGGAGGGGGGAAGGTTGAGGGGGTAGTCACGCGGTGGGAGGAGGCAAAATGCGACCTTGTAACGAAAGCACATGTGCTATGTATGTAATGTTAACAGCAAGGTTTACCCTGAAAGAGTGTAGCCACTGTTTTATAAAATGTGTCTTTTTAAATACCGCTGTCCCTTTTTTTTTCTCCACCAGCTGCATGTGTTTCAATGATCACAGGATCTTCTCCTTCCCAGAGGCTAGTGAAGCTTAGAAAGAAAAAAAAAACGCACTCGCGATGAAATGTTCTCCGAGCTCATGCTGTCCTCCCACACTGACAGAGCACAGACGAATGCGTGGAGGCAAATAATGTCAGAGTGCAGGAAAGCACAAAATGACCGGGAGGAGAGGTGGCGGGCTGAAGAGAGTAAGTGGCGGGCTGAAGAGAGTAAGTGGCGGGCTGAAGACAGGGCTGAAGCTCAAATGTGGCGGCAGCGTGATGAGAGGAGGCAGGATTCAATGCTGAGGCTGCTGCAGGACCAAACCAGTATGCTCCAGTGTATGGTTGAGCTGCAGCAAAGGCAGCTGGAGCACAGACTGCCACTGCAGCCCCTCTGTAACCAACCGCCCTCCTCCCCAAGTTCCATAGCCTCCACACCCAGACGCCCAAGAACGCGGTGGGGGGGCCTCCGGCCAACCAGCCACTCCACCACAGAGGATTGCCCAAAAAAAAGAAGGCTGTCATTCAATAAATTTTAAAGTTGTAAACTTTTAAAGTGCTGTGCTTAAAGTGCTGTGTGGCATTTTCCTTCCCTCCTCCACCACCCCTCCTGGGCTACCTTGGTAGTCATCCCCCTATTTGTGTGATGAATGAATAAAGAATGCATGAATGTGAAGCAACAATGACTTTATTGCCTCTGCAAGCGGTGATTGAAGGGAGGAGGGGCGGGTGGTTAGCTTACAGGGAAGTAGAGTGAACCAAGGGGCGGGGGGTTTCATCAAGGAGAAACAAACAGAACTTTCACACCGTAGCCTGGCCAGTCATGAAACTGGTTTTCAAAGCTTCTCTGATGCGTACCACGCCCTCCTGTGCTCTTCTAACCGCCCTGCTGTCTGGCTGCGCGTAACCAGCAGCCAGGCGATTTGCCTCAACCTCCCACCCCGCCATAAACGTCTCCCTCTTACTCTCACAGATATTGTGGAGCACACAGCAAGCAGTAATAACAGTGGGAATATTGGTTTCGCTGAGGTCTAAGCGAGTCAGTAAACTGCGCCAGCGTGCCTTTAAACGTCCAAATGCACATTCTACCACCATTCTGCACTTGCTCAGCCTGTAGTTGAACAGCTCCTGACTACTGTCCAGGCTGCCTGTGTACGGCTTCATGAACCATGGCATTAAGGGGTAGGCTGGGTCCCCAAGGATACATATAGGCATTTCAACATCCCCAACAGTTATTTTCTGGTCTGGGAATAAAGTCCCTTCCTGCAGCTTTTGAAACAGACCAGAGTTCCTGAAGATGCGAGCATCATACACCTTTCCCGGCCATCCCACGTTGATGTTGGTGAAACGTCCCTTGTGATCCACCAGAGCTTGCAGCACTATTGAAAAGTACCCCTTGCGGTTTATGTACTCGGAGGCTTGGTGCTCTGGTGTCAAGATAGGGATATGGGTTCCGTCTATGGCCCCACCACAGTTAGGGAATCCCATTGCAGCAAAGCCATCCACTATGACCTGCACATTTCCCAGGGTCACTACCCTTGATATCAGCAGATCTTTGATTGCGTGGGCTACTTGCATCACAGCAGCCCCCACAGTAGATTTGCCCACTCCAAATTGATTCCCAACTGACCGGTAGCTGTCTGGCGTTGCAAGCTTCCACAGGGCTATCGCCACTCGCTTCTCAACTGTGAGGGCTGCTCTCATCTTGGTATTCATGCGCCTCAGGGCAGGGGAAAGCAAGTCACAAAGTTCCATGAAAGTGCCCTTACGCATGCGAAAGTTTCGCAGCCACTGGGAATCGTCCCAGACCTGCAACACTATGCGGTCCCACCAGTCTGTGCTTGTTTCCCGAGCCCAGAATCGGCGTTCCACAGCATGAACCTGCCCCATTAGCACCATGATGCATGCATTGGCAGGGCCCATGCTTTCAGAGAAATTTGTGTCCATGTCCTGATCACTGATCGCTGATGTCGCCTCCTCGCCCGGTATCGCTTTGCCAGGTTCCGGTGCTGCATATACTGCTGGATAATGCGTGTGGTGTTTAATGTGCTCCTAATTGCCAAAGTGAGCTCAGCGGCCTCCATGCTTGCCTTGGTATGGCGTCCGCACAGAAAAAAGGCGCGGAATGATTGTCTGCCGTTGCTCTGACGGAGGGAGGGGCGACTGAGGACACGGCTTACAGGGTTGGCTTCAGGGAGCTAAAATCAACAAAGGGGGTGGCTTTACATCAAGGAGTATTTCAGGCAGGACTTCATGGAGGGTTCCAATAAGAAATGGTGCACCTAAGTTATTGTCCTTATTGGAACAAGAAGGTTAGCCTGGCCTCTGATTGATACATGGCTAGATTTACCTCGCTGCACCTTCTCTGTGAGTGACTGCAGTGTGACCTAGAAGAATGAGTCCCCTAGACAGGGGAGGAGGCAAATGAGTACAAAACAAATCTGGTCTATTTCTTGTTTTGATCCACTCCATCTATCTTTTACATCTTTGGCTGGCAGCAGACGGTGCAGAAGGACTGCATGCCATCCACATCTCATGGCTGCTCGGCAGAAGATGGTACAGTGCGACTGCTAGCAGTCCGTATCGCCTGCCCGCTCACCATAAGACGGTTCAATAGGACTGACTGCAGGACTAAAGAGAATGACCTGGTCAAGTCACTCCAAATTTAGTCCCTGCGCCCATGTCTGTCCAGGCGCTCCCAGCCGAGATGGCCAGGAGCACCTCGGACATGACGATGACGGCTACCAGTCGTACTGTACCGTCTGCTGCCACAAGGCAAGGGGTTGCTGCTACTGTGTAGCAATGCCGTACCGCATCTGCCAGCACCCAGGAGACATAGGGTGACGGTTACCTGAGCGGGCTCCATGGTTGCCGTGGTATGGCGTCTGCACAGGTAACTCAGGAAAAAAAGGCGCGAAATGATTGTCTGCCCTTGCTTTCACGGAGGGAGGGAGGGAACGGGGGCCTGACGATATGTACCCAGAACCACCCGCGACAATGTTTTAGCCCCATCAGGCATTGGGATCTCAACCCAGAATTCCAATGGGCAGCGGAGACTGCGGGAACTGTGGGATAGCTACCCACAGTGCAACGCTCCAGAAGTCGACTCTAGCCTCGGTACTGTGGAAGCGCTCCGCCGAGTTAATGCACTTAATGCACTTAGAGCATTTTCTGTGGGGACACACACACTCGAATATATAAAACCGATTTCTAAAAAACCGACTTCTATAAATTCGACCTTATTCCGTAGTGTAGACATACCCTAAGGTGCTACAAGTACTCCTCATTCTTTTTATTTCTAGAGTAGTGGCTCTCAACCTGTCAAGAGTGATTTGTCTTGCATACCTCAAATTTCACCTCACTTAAAAACTACTTGCTTACAGAATCAGATATAAAAATACAAAAGTGTCACCACACATTATTACTGAAAAATTGCTCACTTTCTCATTTTTACCATATAATTATAAAATAAATCAACTGGAATATAAATATTGACTTACATTTCAGTGTATAGTATATAGAGCAGTATAAACAAGTAACTGTCTATATGAAATTTTAGTTTGTACTGACTTTGCTAGTGCTTTTTATGTAGCCTGTTATAAAACTAGGCAAATATCTAGATGAGTTGATGTACCCCCTGGAAGACTTCTGCATACCCCCAGGAGTACATGTATCCCTAGTTGAGAACCACTATTCTAGAGTATGTAGAAGGTATTCTACAGACAAAAAACACGGGCAAGTCATGTCCAATAAAGGCTAGAGCCCAATCCTGCAGTTCTTACTCATGTGAGCCAATGTTGTAAGAGTGGCAGAATTGGACCCAATATAGACCATAAACAAAACAGGGAGTGGATAATATGGCTAGATGAGGATCATAACAGCGAGAAAGAATGTTAGTGCTTAGTGTTACCTACTGTAAACCTCTTATCAACAAACAAACAAACAAAGCAGAGTTGTTTTTAAAAGAATTTAATATATTAGCACAGTGTGAGTTAAGAACATACTATCTGCCCTCACTTTGGTTTTTCTCAGCTTTGGTTGGCTTGTGTCATAACCATCATGTTACTGAAAACATTTTTCTTTGTCTGTGAATACATATAGTAGCAACATATAGTAGCAACTCAGCTCTGGATTTTTCTTTTTTTTTTTCTTAAATACATTTTGTTTTAAAAATGTATCTTTCTTTTTCCAGGGTGAAAGTAAAAAACCCTGCTCTGGTATTAACCCTGTTTCCAAGTAAGAATGCAGAACAATGGACGGTAGTAAGGCATAATTCTTTCCATACATGAATTATAGTCCAATTTGCTTACTGCTAGGAAATATAGGACTCTAGCAGTTCTCATACCTTTAACCACTTCTCTGCAATTTGTGAATTTTCTCTGATCTAGGTACTGTATGTGTAAATAGAAAGTAACAGCTACCCATAGTGCTTGCCTGTTGGAGTTCTGGTGAACAAGTCACACCAGAGCTCTTGTATATACTGCATCTTTAAAAACATGTGACTTTAGTTCTCCTGGAATTGGGCTGCTTTCAATCTCTCCGTAGACTAGGTTATAGTATTAGTTAGTGGCAGTGCAAACTTCCTCATTTAGACCTGCCGATGTGCCTCTACCCTGAGCTGGAAACATCACATCCAGAGGGAGAGGGTAGTTCAGTCCAAATGCCCATTGATTCTCCCCTTCCCCCTCCCACCCCCGCCGCCTTAGTTTGAGGCTATCGTCAAAGATGTAGTTTGACTGATTTGTGTGTGTGTGTGTGTGAGAGAGAGATAACGAGGAGTTCTTGTGGCTCCTTAGAGACTAACAAATTTATTTGGGCATAAGCTTTCGTGGGTTAGAACCCACTGCATCAGATGCAGGGAGTGAAAATACAGCAGCAGGTATAAATACACGGAAGCATGGGGGTTGGCCCCATGCCCCATTATACTCAGTACAATACAAACACATGATGAAAAGATGATCCCTGCTCAAATTTCACCTATGGAGCCAGGCTTGTCTGACGGGTCAGAGTACATCTGTATAAAGAAACTCATTGTTACTCGCTAAAATCATGTAAGGAGAATGTGGTTTGGAAGGGGTATAAGGCCATGGCCGTCCTTACCCATATGCAAAGTATGCAGCTGCATAGCGCAGTTGCGTGCTGCTCCAGCCCCTGCTCCGGCTCTTCCCCAGGGTCCCTGCCCCCGATCTGCCCCAGCCCCACCCCGCCTCTTCCCACCCCTTCTCCGCCCCAGCCCTTCCCCCACTCCCCTGAGCTCTGCAGCAGGGCTGGGCCTGCCCTTACCAGCAGTGGGAGTGTAGCGGCTGAGCCCCAGCCATGCCACCGGTGAGTGCTGGGAGGTGGTTCCACCCTGCCCCCCAAGCCAGCCCTGCCCCCCCCCCCACGGAGGCCTGGGGCCAGCCCTCCCTCCCACCCCGCCGCAGAGTGCTGGGGCCCACCCCCTCCCCTGCGGAGGCCTGGGGCCAGCCCATCTGCTTTCCCCCCACCCCCGCAGAGGCCTGGGGCCCCACAACCTCCCCCCTATGGGGGGGCTGCGTAGGGCCCCAGAATAGCTAGGGACAGCCCTGTGTAAGGCAGTGAGAAAGAGGTTCCAATGAATATATATGGCTTACTTACAGGAAAGTAAGCCAAGTACAGTCTTGTGTACATTATGATACTAAATGCAGGGCCCACATTTGATTTCTTTCTTTAACAATGCTCTGCTGAGTTAGTGCTTTCAGTTCACTTCCAATAAATACATGGCCACCTTGCTGCATTGCAAAAACCATTATTACAAACTGATTCACTTCACTGGCTGTCTTGACAGCTAGGCAAAAAACTGAGTGGATATACAGCCTGAATTATCCTCTCAGTCCTCAAGGTGGTCATTCCAAGTCCAGATTAAGGCAAATTGATGTAGTGC